TTTTTGACCTATGGTCTTTTGGAATAGGGTAAATATTGACCAAAACAGAAAACGTAATATGGAAATATTGTGCTAATACACATGGTTTACATGCAGATTTGTTCACAAGCACTGTTTGTGAACCAATCACATTTTACTTTTTTGGCCTGAAAAAATAAATTAATAAATCTTAAAATTAGAAACCATTAGGAAATTATTTTTGGACACTGCAAATGTCAGCTAAACCACTAGAAGAAAGAAGTGGCTCGGTGGTGTAGTCGTTAACACATTAACCTTACATGCAAAAGATCTTCAGTTCAAGACAGAGAGCAAACAAACCTAGAGTCATGCTACTCCGAGAGCCAGTCGCAGGCTTGGATAAATGTTGTGTCAGAAGCTATCTGGCTGTGCCAAATCATACACGCAGATCCCATCTGCTGTGGCAACCCCTAGGGAAATAAGGGAGCAACCAAAAATGGCCAAAAATCAACACAATTTCTCATGGATGATCTTGCTCTTCTGCTGCTGGCACTATACTCTCATATAAAGTTTGAAAAAATATGAAAGAAATCAAATTAAGAGTATTGTTTGTTACTACCTTTTTGACTGCTGCATGGTTTTTATTGTCCCTCTACCATTAAACATGTCTGTTGGTTGATTTATATAAAATCTTTTGATATTAGATGTATTGGAGTAATTTTCATTCTGAAAATTTAACAGCACAGCTTGATTTTTTTTTGATTTTTTTTAATAGATGTACACATTCATAAATGCATATTTATTTATAGTCTATTTTTCTTTAAGCATACAGTGAGACTGACAACTCTCATTTTGTTGTCTTTTATTAAGGGGTTCAATTGACTGTATCCAACTCATAAATGAGGAACACATGGTAACAGGAGCAGATGATGGGTAAGAATTTGCTGCTATGTTGATTCAGTTTCTTTCTCTCCATTTTTATTTTATTCGGTGTGTAATAGTGTGAACTAACTCATTCATATTTCCTGACAACCTCAGCTCTGTGTGTCTTTGGAGTGTCAACAAGAAGAAACCTCTCAGCACAGTGAAACGGGCCCACGGTTGCCATGGTGATGCAGGGATTGAGCAGCCTCATTGGGTCTCTTCAGTGGCGGCACTTCAGAACTCTGATACTATTGCCTCAGGTGCCTATAGCTGTGAGAAACCTCTTCATGTGCTTTTCAGTAACACATGGACCCGTTTTTATTCGCAGGATAATGTAAATAAAGTGTTTTACGGGTGATTTGTTTGAATGCAGATGTATTCAGTGCAAGTAATAAATTCATTCCTGATGAAAAGGACATCAAAGTAATACATCAGCCTAGGTTGGTGTTTAAGTAAGCTGTCGTCATTTGGCTTTGTATAACAACGGATCTTCCTTGCAGGTTCCCACAACTCAGAGGTTAATGTGTGGAAATGTGGCCAGAATTATCGTGGGCTTCAGCCTCTGTTCAGTGTACCAGTGGTAAGCAGTTAACCCTTTCCTGTCATTTAAATAAATAAATAATAATAAGTTGCATAAATGCTTATTTTCTTTCTCTACTTTCCTTTCCTGCCTAGTCTGGTTTCGTCAACAGTTTGAAGTTTTCAAGCTCTGGTCAGTTCTTGGTTGCAGGAGTTGGACAGGAGCACAGGTACATTTATACTCATGTTTCCATAGAAACTAAAGTTCCTGAAAACTAATGAATGTCAGCACAAGTTCATGTTTAGTGGACAAAACATCCACTAGGTGGCAGTGTTAATCCATCTTTAACATTTTAGAATTTTTAGGTTGACTTGGCCTCATTCATATAGTTATGCAGTTACTAACTGAAGGTAACCAGGAAGTATGATGTTGGATAATGTCACACTTGTCATGTAGTATTTTCGATCAGTTTGGCAGAATGCAAGGTAAAATAAAATGTGCAAGTGGATCAGATATTTTGTCTTGATGCATGCTCAATCATCCAGGTCAGTAAATCCACAAAAGATGATTCTGTTCATGTTGGGGAAACCTGCAGTCAGCTGAGACTGAAGAAGTCACTTGAATGAGTGACGAAGCATTTCTCCCACTGAAAATCTGTCCAGATGAACAAAGTCAACTTTTGTGGATCGGATATTTTGTTTTGGTGTGTTGATCATAGTTACAGATTTTACAGAATGACATGTAAATCTGAACTGTTTTTTTTTTGTTTGTTTTTGTTTTTTTTCTTTATTTTGATTGTATTGACATATGAAACAAACAGTGTTAAACTTGACCACTGTGAAAATTGCTGAGGGGAACTGACAGTGATTATTGTAATTTGATATCCAAAATGCTTTCTTGTGTACTGGAGGGTCTGAGCTGCTCTATAGTAAATCCATCCACCCACTCATGGCTGTAGCTCAGGTCATCTACTGATCAGAAGGTCAGTGGTTCGATCCCTGGATGCCCCTAGTCTTCACTCATCCATTGGTGTATGAATGTGTGTGAATGGTACTAAGCACTTAGACGCATACAAGGTGGTGCTTGTGTGAATGGGGTGAATGTGGCATGTTGTATAGAGTGCTTTGAGTACTATATAAGAATCAGTCCATTTTACCATTTACCATCTCTTCCACTTATCCATTTCAGCTACCACAGAGCAAACTGTTCTCTACAGTACAGTTTAATTAATCCAAAACCTTGTCCGACAGATAGGATTTTTATGACTAATACCTGTATTGACCAATTACTCGTTTGCTCTCTGGACCAGCTGATGCTTATAGGGAAGTTACAGATTGCCTTCATCTGCAATCAAAACTTATGACTTATCTGAAGGGATCTTGTCTTTTCTTCACTTTGTAAATGTTTATCAGTCATTATAAATACCAAAACCTCGGGATCAGGAAATGGCCTAGCTGATATGTCAGTCAGACTAATTGTGCCTCCAAAGATGTGCAGGTTACTTGTACTGTGTGCATTAATACTGCTCTATAGCAGTGTTTTTAAACTGTGTACTGATAACACGTCAGGTGGTCCCCCACCCTTTTTTATTTCCGAAGGTGCAATATCCGTGTTTTCCAAAAAAGTTTTATTGGAGCATTGGAGAGGTGCTTTTTTTTTTTTTTTCCTAACCTTACCTGAATCCATCTTAGATGAGCTCGGGCTCAGAGACAGCTTCTGCATTTCTCAATCACTGTTTATTCCCTCGAGGTTTTTGCTTTGCATGCTAGAGTTTTAATGAACTGACAGTTTTCAGGAGTGTGCCTGAGCCTGTGCATTGATTTCTACTTCAGAATTGTCTGTTTCCAGCACGGTGTTGCCTGAGGACACACAGATCACAGACATTAATTACTGGTTTTCAACCTTTGCGCAAAGAGATTTCTCCGGATCTCTGATTTTTAATGTACCATAGATGATGAAATTCTTTGCAGTCTTCTATTGAGTGGGCAAACCATCCTCAATTTTTCTTCTGAAAGCCTCAAGCTCACTGTGGTGATCGTTTAATAGGCAAGGCAAGGCAAGGCAAGTTTATTTGTATAGCACAATTCAACAACAAGGTGATTCAAATACAAATACAAAATGTTTATGACCTGTTACCAGATATCAGATTTAAACCATTTCTCCAGTGTTTTATTACTCCATCCCTCCTTATTTGTTTTTTAATTAACAATCCATATGGTGGTTAATCATTAATCTTCAGTGAACTGTTAGTGTTAAAATAATGATTTGTAAATAAATCTTTGTTTTGTTTACAGATTGGGACGATGGTGGAGACTAAAGGAAGCCAAGAATGGAATTTATGTTATTCCTCTTAAAAGGAAACCCTCTGATCCAGAGGAAACTAAAAGCGCTGAATAGAAAACTGTTAAATGCTTTTCCTTTTGTAAATTAAAGATATAAAAATAAAAATAAAATCTCAGGATTTTTTTTTTGTTTTTTTGTTTTGGTTTTTTTTGGGGTTGTTTTCTGTACTTTAAAAAATAAAAAATAAAATCCAGACAGTATCTGTTTCTACAGTTGTTGTCTGTGGATTCCTCTTGTTATTAAAAGACAATAACAGCTTTTGGTTTAGTGAAGAAGTCAAAGCATTGTTGGTAAGGCATCCCTGCATAAAAATAAAGTGTGAAGAGGCTGAATTGTAGGAGAGGAAAAAAGACTGCTGGTTCTATTTTGTGATCATAAAGTTTTGAAGTGTCATGATGTTCTATGAAAGTTAGGCTATAAGTGTGTCTGGCAAAGTGATGACTGCTTCTGTGTGTAGGGTATTGGAGGAGTCAGATCAAAAGTTGTGAATCATAGATATGGTGGTAGAAGACCAGCATATCATTTGAATCTCATAAAAATGTAATTGAAAGTATATTGGCATCTTTTAGTAATAAGGAAAAAAAAGGTTTACAGCTTATTTCTACTTTTACTTTACTTGACATTTACTTGGTATTTACAGGAGGGAAAGTGCACAAAATCTTAATTATACAAGTGATTTGTCAGACCAGCCTCGGGGACTGCAAGCTGTTGACTAGTGACATTATGTCAGTGACAGTTATTGTTATATAATAACCAAGAATTACCAAGAATTGGTATTAGCATCATCTTCAGTCATCCTGCAGGTGTCCACTTAGACCCGGGTGGACATGTTGATGCCATTTTCATTAGGAATCGTTTTTATTACCCAACTCTTAATTTTGTATGCCATATAGGGGGGAAAAACAGTATCATCTTCTTTCACAGTTAAACATGCAGACAATAACATTTAAATTTTTAATGAAGTCACTTCTATTTATGCTGCAGGCAGACAGTGGGTACAGTTTCACATCTAAAACGCCAGTCCGCATTTAATGTGTAAATGTAGGATTCATGTGAACTTTTTTTTCCCCCCCATGTACAATTGCAGGTGCTCAACTATTAAAACAACAGCTATCCTGCACTAGTTTGGTAACTGAAAATTTACTGAAATGGCAGAAATCGGCTAATCCTGCATCCAGATCTCGATTGCAGTTCTTGTGCATAGCTCCTCTGAATTTGACTGAAAGTGGGAACCCAAACAAAGTAGAATTTGATCTTTTAATATTAAAAAAGAACATTTTATTTACATAAATTACAAGTAAGCACGCACTGCTATACCAGTCTACATTAACACACGTCCTTTACGTTGTCTAGTTGCCTAGTTTTCATCACATTTACTATAGTTAGTCACACATTTTGCTTAACAGAAGGGCTAACTTTATCTCAAAGCATTTTTTTTGTCAATGTCTAAACATCTGGATATATTCACAGCACTGTAAGAACACAATAAGAACAGCCTTTTGTTTTTGTATAACACTATTGCTTCACAACCACCCATTTGACAACAAGACTCTTTAGGACAAGGCACGGTGCATTTAATCACATCTATCTGTAAACCAAGGAGATCACAGCATATTAAATCTATACAAAAAAAAGGCTTTACAGTTGATACATACTGCTCACTGTAAGAACATCGTTACGCTTTCACAGTTAGAGTTACCATTGCCACTGTCAGTCTAGTTATCTCTCTGCAACATGTTAGATGCCATGGGGGCTTTGTCATACACAGCTCTGTTGGATGGAAGGATGATTGATGACAGGATGGTTGCTTCTGCTTAGAGAGGAATGTTTTTCACAAAGAGGATGTTGTGGAGTCCACCACTTCTCGCCCGTTGCAAACTGCTGGCACATAGTTGGAGGCTGATCCTGAGGGAATAAAAGCAGTGATGTTAGAGTTTCCTGCAAACCAGAGATAAAAGCTGCGAGGAGCAAGTGGTCCAAATACATTAGGCACCCTGTCTTTAAGTACAATTTTGAGGTATCCTTTTTGTGCATGACTTTTATTGTGAAGTTTATTTGGCTGATCACGATTATACAGACTTGCACATAAAATGTTACAAAACAATACAGTTTCTGTCCGGTTGCTTCATCACTAGCTATAATTGAACAATGTGAAATACTGCAACCAGAAATCCATCACAGCTTACAGTGCTATTTTCCAGACAGTATCCTTACATTGTTGAATTCCTACTTTTAATTGCAGCAATTAAATACTTTTTATTTCTTACATCATTTTTTTTTCTGACAACAGAAATCACTTTAGTCTAAGAGACGAGATAAAGCATAAAGTGTCAGAAGCCTTTTAATGCGCAGCTTTTCTTTTGGACTAAAAGCAGTGTGAGGTCTCCCAGCTATAAAAGAGTAAATGGCACGCTCACTATAGAACCATGTAAACATCTCATATATATTTAATGTGTTTTTTGTCTGTGAACATAGTCAGTTTATTAATTGGTTTCAGATAAGACTTTCTCTTACCCAAAATGAAAAGAAAAACATAATGGCATGGTTATTAATTGCAGAGCTGCAAAACTACAGAAACAAGCAGGAAAAACCTTTCAGTATTATATAGAAATTTCTTCACTCTTACCCATGTTCCACTAAATAAGAATAATACATTTTAAAAAAAAAATGAAATAAATGATATTTCAGTGTTTTACTGCAATGCTGTCATTTTGATCTGAGTTTCACAGTGAAACTGTCAACTGTTACCCAGTTTTATTTCTGATTTTATTGTGAAGCACTTTTGTGATTCTTATACATTTTAATTACTTACTTTTTTGTAATACTTACTTAATTTTTTAATTATGTAAGATGCCCTATCCGTATGGAAAAGGGTATCTCAGCTTAGAAAGAACACAGACAGGCATATTCTTATTTGCCTGCCAGCACCTCACAAATTTAAACAGTACTGTATATTTCATTTACAGTGCTGTGAAAAAGTAATTGCTCCCTAAACCTAATAACTGGTGTTGGCACCCCTGGCAGCCAGAGATTAGGCAGTAACACGTTACTTGTAACGTGTATAGTAACGCGTTACTTGTAACTATTTGAAAGACTGAGTGTAAACACAAAAAATATTTTATTTTATGTGCTGGAATGTGCAGAAAATAGGTTTAAATGTTAAACTAATTTCTTCAAGTCAGAGAATGTTGCATATAATTTAATTTTTACTTCAGGCATAAAGTTAAAAGATTAAAACTGATAAAACAAGTTTAAAAAAAAAGAGACTTTTCCATTTGATTACATTTTGTATGATGGATTATGCAGAAAAAGTAGAATTGGGCTGAAAGATCTATCGCTTTATTACCTATTCAGGTTGTAAATCGTGTTTTTAAAAAGTAACTAAGTAATTAATTACTTTTGAAAATAAGTAATCAGTAAAGTAACGGGATTACTTTTTGGGGAAGTAATCAGTAATTAGTTACTGATTACTTTTTTCAAGTAACTTGACCAACACTGCTGGCAGCAAGAACAATGCGATAAAGCATTACTCTTTCACACAGGGCCAAGTTGGTTTGACTGGGCTTTTTATTTCCTGTGAAGTGTGACAAATATGCAAAAAATATCATAAATAAATAAAATTAAAAATAAAAAGGCCAATTAAAATAATGGGCAAATCCTGAAACAACAGGTTTTTCAGCTTGCAGCCCATTTGTGCTCGTCTACAAATTAAATAATCTCCAAGTTTTACGTAGACTGATTGTTTAATATTGGAGAAAGCCATGTTAGCTGATAAGTTGTGTTAAATCTCCTGGCTGTATATTCATATTTACCATATAAAGTGTGTATGTTAGCATGTTGAGCTAAAGACCATCTGGTAGTCCTTTGTCTTTATGTTGTGTTAATAGTTTCTTTTACAAGTAAAGAACCATATTCTGTATACTCTGCATTAGTACCTTTTGAGAAGCTGGAGCTGGGGGCAGAGGCAGACGTAGAAACTGTGGTACTGAAGCGGTTGGCTGTGACTCTTAGTGTGGCCACATTTTTCTGGGGCTGAAAAAGGATGATGTGGACCTTTGGGGCGAAGAGGCACCCGAGAACCACGGAGCCACTCAGACTGACGGAGATGCACATGGTGGTGGTCTGTACCTGGGATGAAAGAGAGCATGTGTGTAATGATGGCTACATCAGTCTGCTCTTTGTTTTTTCATTTGGTCTTCAAAAAGACTAATGAAGTTCATTCAAAGGCCGCCTGGTCCCAGTTCTTCTCTCTCACACAGCCTTTGATCAAATCACTCATATTTTCATTTATTCCCTGTTCTGGTTATTTACAAACCTTAACTTTAATGTGTGGTTCCTTTCAAACATCCATTAATCAATCTTTACATTAACGTCTTTTCTAAAAGTCAATCAAAAACCAAACACAACCCTGTAACAAATATTCACTTATACATGGATATAAGCTTTACTAATAAATAGTGATATAATAAATTAGATGTTTAACAGAAGGTTAACAACTGATAATCAACTTTTTGTTCAAGAAACAGAAAGCAAAAGAAAACGTTACCTGGATGGAATCAAAATGAAAACAAATCAAATTTGTCCCTTTCAGGTTTCTTATAGTTATTATTCTCACATTATTAGCCATATTTTACATCTTGAACAGTGTGTGGTTTTCAGCTGCGTTTGTTAGCAATTCTAATTGTCCATTTGTATGCGCATGAACATGAGGGCAAGAAGTCGAAAGAGAGATAAGCACAGCTGGCCGTCCTGGAAAGTCGGAGCCTTGTTAGTCATATTTCAGCTGCTAATGTGAGCTGACTGCTGGGGTCATCTTCCTGAGCTCCGTCTCTTCCCACCCCACTGGTTACCCCTGCAGTCCAGGAACTTCTATTTGCAGAACCACAGCATGAAGTGAAATCTCTCCCAAACATACTGCACAATAACAGCACTGCAGAAATATGAGAAGTCATCATGCATTTCAACTTCAAAAATAAGTAGTGAAAAGCACCACCAGGACTCCTGGTAACATAACTTTGCCTTCTCTCTGCAGCTCCTAATCTTTTTCAGCCATAAAGATAACTTTCTAGCAGCTATTCCCTTTAAACAGATTGCACAAGTAATTAGAAACCACCAGTGTTTGCAACAGCACAACATGAGCTGTATTTGTATGATGTATTTCATTGTTAGACATTTGCATTTAATGTCGTTTTAGCTTATTACTCTTTCTTAAATTTCCTTCCCTTTTATGAAGCACAATTTAATGTACTTTAATTTAGCCTTTATAGGTTGTTTACTCACTGTTTTATTACCCAGTGAGTAAAGTTCATACTACAGAAACTATTCTGTAGAAAGGAGACGGAAAAAAATTAAAGGTTTTGAACATGAAAGAAAATGTGTCTACATAACAGTAAAACCTTGGGCTCATCATGATTCACTAGGCTACCCTCATTACGATATTACCGTGTTATCCAACTCTAATTTGAAATGTGGCAGCTGAACCCACAGCCATTGTTATTGTTGTCACACAGAACCAAATCATCAAGATCTCCAGTGCAGTGTGAAACCCCTCATTCCTTCAGTTAATCTCTCGGTTGCAATTTTAGTATGAAGCCTTATTTCCTACAAAATGTATCTGGTCTCTTAGGGGCCACTAAGGATCAGGAAAGTTGGCTTTTGGTTCATGGGTTGAGTACCCAAAAGGCTGCTTACAACAGTCATGAAAAGCCAGAGGTTTCTCATGATACAAACCCTCTGTGACCCTAGACCTCCCCCCTATCTGTTTGCACAACAAAGGCCTTGTTGCACACTTCGACCAAAATGCTGTGACAGTAGCCTTGGGACTGCCTAAGGCATCAGCACTCATAACTTACATGGTCTGTCAGTTTTATGCTTAAAGTTTTGTCTTATTTATCCTATGTCACATTGCACAAATAAATAAATGCATTTATATATGCAGATATTAATAAGACTAATATGCTATATGGCTAAAGTCACAATGCATATTCAGCATGTTTATTCACTGTAGTTTGATGCACTACAGACTAAATTTAGCCTGTAGTGATTTTTTTAAAGGCTAAATGCTGCAAAAACATTATCCCTATGCGACAACTCTGTAGCAGATTTGTCAAATTTCCTATTAGGGAGGTAGTGCCACAAAATGGGCAACAGTAGGCCGCTCAAAATGATTATTAATACACACCATAATGTTGCTTATTGTGTTCCCTGTATGGGTTCCCACTGGGATTTAGCCTAGGTTTTTAAAAACAAAACCTATTGTAAATCTCTAGAATCCATCTCTTAGCTGAAAAAATGGGTCAAAGAGCATTTAGTAATGCCACGGTTTAATGAATCAATCTGACTGTCTTTAACTATTTCTATGGGTATATTCAGACCTGATCTGTCTCCAGTCTTTGTTGTTTTCTTGAAAGATCCTTCAACTCACATGAAAAGAAAGCTTTCATGAGTCTAGGTGAAGGTGATCAAATGGAATGTGAAAGTGACACCTTCTTCAGGGATGCTAAAAACACAGGGGACAGTCATTTATAGACTTTGTTTGCACTACTCCACATAAGTTGGCTTTAGAGGTTTATAGAAATATGAATTATAAATACTCAATTTGCTATTTATCAGGAAAAAAAAAATTCTGGATAGTTACCCTGTAGTCACTGGCTGTGACGTAGAAGATAGGCTGAAAGGCGAGCCAGATGATGCAGGTGGTGTACATGGTGAACCCAATGAACTTGGCCTCGTTGAAGTTTTCGGGACACTTTCTTGTCTTGAAAGCGTAGACGGTGCAGAGGATGATGAGAATGCAATTGTAGGTGAGAGAGATGAGCATGCTGGTGTCCCTACTGTTGCACTTGAGCGTAACAATGTTTCTCCTCTCTGGGCTCACCTCCTTTCGAACCCCTGGCACCTCCACAAGCAGCCAGATAACAGCCACTAGAAGCTGGCAGGAGATAAGAGCACCACAGATTGCTACCTGGGAGGCCGGGCTGATGAAACGTGGCCGCTGCGCTCCATCCTTTACCCCACTGAAGATGCGAGCGATGCGGTTTGTCTTGGTTAGGAGAGCTGAGTAACATACTGCGAAGGAGGTCCCCAGGCCTAGACGGCGTAGGGTGCAAACAGCTGTGGAAGGCTTGGTGATGTAGATAAAGGTCATGCTGTAGCACATCAGCACTCCCAACAACAGGATGTAGGAGAGCTCACGTCCACTTGCTTTAACCACCGGTGTTTCATTGTGCTTGAAGAATACGCCTACTACTGACAGGGTACACAGTATGCCAAGGCAAGAAATGGTAACAGGCCCAATAGCCCAGGCATCCTCCCACCGGATGTATTCTTCAGGCAGATCATAGCAGCCAGTCAAGTTAGCCAGAGGCCACTGACCGAAACTACAGTCAGCACAGGTGAACTCATCCTGCAGGTACTGGTAGGACTGACAGGGAATACAGATCCAGCAGCACACATCACCAGGCTGCATGCTCTTCACTTCATTCTTCCTGCAAGGGTCACTACATTGGGAGGTTGGTGGCACATCACCACGCCAGTGCACCATGGTGGTATTCAAGGTCAGGTTCTGGTCCCAGTAACCAACTTTCTTGTAGACGAACTTCCCCTCGTCTTTGTGGTAATGAAAGATGTTGTAGCGGCTTATGCCATCACCAACTGAATCAAAGCGCACCATGTTCTCTGTGTCTGCAGGTTTGAATGGTGCTGGTGGGAAGCATAAAATACAGCAATGAAGACTTAAAGGAAATATAAAGGATTTAAAAATTCAAAGCCAGGAATATAATAATAATAATGACAACAACAACAACAACAACAACAACAACAACAACAACAATAATAATAATAATAATAATATAAGAATAACACAAAAGGCAAAAAAAGAAAAAGAGAGCCAAAGTTCAATTCATGGACTGAAGAACAGTGCTATGTTTTTGTATAATTTAAATTAAAATACTTTTTTTCCTGCTATTTCATGTAACACGAAATATAAATGCACTGCGTTATATACAGCTTTTCCTATCAACCCCTCTAAGCCCTTTATACTACAAATCACATTTTTAACATAAGACAGTTTCACGCATATGTTGTTAGTGTTAGTTCAGGAGGGCAATGGCACTTTGACAGCAAATTAGAGGATCCAAGGATCCAAACCACTGACCTTAGGATTAATGCACCTATTCAACACCTATTCAACCTCCTGAGCCACAGCTGTTCTCTGAATTTGTTCATTCATTCATCCTGTCAGTACTATTTTAAGAAAAGTATGTTCCCTGCCCGCTGTTTCTTCAGTGCCAATTCATGGATTATTTTTTGCTAATTGAATAATTACAAAGCCTTTCTCTGCTCAGCAGAAGTTGTTTGCTTAATCCTGTGTCATGGCTCTTTGCAACCCTTATTTCCTTTGTATCCATGGTGAAATATTACCACTTCCAACCATTTAAAAAACATGTTAAATTCTTTTTTTTTTTTCATGTTTGTTGTTTACTTATGTTGTGCATACCTTCAAATTTGGTCTTCAAGATGAACTCCTTGTAGAACCTTTTGCCATTACCTGGTTTCATAGCATCGCAGACCTTAGATGTGTTGGAGCACACTGCTTGCCTCATGTTGTGCAGGGCATAGGCCATCGCATAGACTGCGTTCACCACAAACATGATTTTGGATTCCTGTTCGAAAGTTCCATCTCGTAAGCTGTAGTCAGCACAGCCAGGCTCCTGTAGGTTGCAGTCAAACCGGTGTTCCCAGAACTCCCTGAACCACGGGTTCCTCATATTGGTCGATGGGTTCAGTTTGGTAAAGTAGTCTTCAAACTCTCTGACAGGATAGGAGGCTAGTTCAATGGTGAAAGCTCCATCTGCTGCAGTCTCGCTGCCCCTCACCAAACCCTCCTGTGCTCCCCACCCATCACTGGCCACCCAAGTGAAAGTGACATTCATTCTGGCAGCAGCCACAAGGAGCTCGCGAGCGTCCTCACTGCGCGTGAACAGGATGACAACCTTTGCGTTAGACTTTTGTTGCAAGGAGCGGATCACATTCTCATAGCCCTGGCGGTTCATGGAACGACTCACTTTGGCTGAAGTGGCAATGCAGATTTGGCGAGAGCGGGCCTCCTGCTGGAAGGCGTCAATGCCTGTTTCACCATAGTCACCCTCTGATGCTACTGTTGACACGTATGTCCAGTTAAAGTAACGCAGAATCTCAGCCATTGCTTTAGCTTGGTAGAAGTCAGGGGGCACGGTGCGAGCGAAGTAGTCATAGCGGGTTTTATCACTGAGCTTTGCACTAGTAGAGGCATAGCTGATCTGAGGGATCTGGAACAGTCGCAGGAGGTTAGCCACCTGAGGAAAGCAAATGAAATGGAAATGCTATCAAAACAGTCTCATCACATCCTCTCATATATATATATATATATATATATACACACACACACAGGAACTGCTGGGAAAAAGGAAATAGGTGCAGTGATATATTGAAATATATTTAAACATAGATAAACATACAAATAAGGGGAAAAATAGTTTGCACAATTCTAAAAGCTTGAAAGTCAATATTTGGTATGAGCATCTTTATTCTTAGACACAGCCTGAGCTCTCTTAGGCAGGCTTTCTTTTCTAATCTTTGATGAGTCTACAGGTATAGTTCTCCAGGCTTCTTGGAGGACATTCAAAGCATTGCTTTGGATGTTGGCTGCCTTTTGTTTTGTTCTCTGTTGTGATGATCCCACACTGCTTCAGTAATGTTGAGGTCCAGGCTCTGGGGAGGCCAATCCATGACTGAGTGCTGCATTCTGTGCTTAGCTAGGTATGGTTTTACTGCATTGACCCCAACCGGTCGCAGCAGATGGCCGCCCCTCCCTGAGCCTGGTTCTGCCGGAGGTTTCTTCCTGTTAAAAGGGAGTTTTTCCTTCCCACTGTCGCCAAAGTGCTTGCTCATAGGGGGTCATTTGATTGTTGGGGTTTTCTCTGTATGTATTATTCTAGGGTCTAAGGGTCTACCTTAAAATATAAAGCACGTTGAGGCGACTGTTGTTGTGATTTGGCGCTGTATAAATAAAATTGAATTGAATTGAATTCATTGGCAGAGTGTTTGGGATCATTTTCATGCTGAAAATGAAGATGCTACCACAAAGACACATTGCATGATGGATCAAAATCTGATGGTACTTTGCTGTGTTCATGTCCATCAATTTTGACAAGATCCCCAACACCACTAGCGACACTGCAGACCCTAACCATGACAGTGCCTCCACTGTATTTTGTATGTCAGACAAACCAAGTGATTATTTGCTGGAATTTCAGAAAAAGGCTTGAGCCGTACACTGATGTGCTCCCAACACTACAAAGTTGAACAAGATTTTTTAAACATACAGTCATATTTGTTTAAATTTATTAAATATACCTATTCCTTTATTTGTACTTTTTAACCTGTCTTGCATTACACAGATGTTTTATCAATTCTTAATTACAAAAATATGGGTTCGAAAATAATAATGAAGAGTGCAGAGTCATTGTTTTTGCTGTAAATTGTATAATAAAGTGTAGAAATTAATTAATTTACTTATAAGTCCTGCATTAAGTATTTATTCATTTGTTTATATATTTTTAAGCTATTCTACTTTTTGACTTGTATATTCTGTTTGTAGTTTAAGTGGAGCCATTAAGTGCAGATCAGCTATCTGTCTGATAGTCTGATAGCGGTGGAGACTGGCTGTGGAAACAGCAACAATTCAGTGTTTCTCTATCTCAGACTGCTTATTGTGTCAGAGATCCACATCACCAGCAGCCAGTGCCACAAATCGATTCAACAATAGTGCAGATAACAACAGCAACAATGGCAGACAGATATGAGTTTTATCAGTGGGATTTTTCTGTTTTCTCCACTTGAGCCATTCTGTCAAGTTATTGGGGGAAGATTTTGCTGGGACTTATGATACCCATGTAACCCAGATAATACATTAATTTCCTCCTGGAGCTGATTGCTGGTGCTGCTGAGTTCACCAGGGCTAGATGATAATCTTTGACTGACAACTCAGCGTGGCATCCTTGTTGAACACAAGCCTGCAGAAAACGGCTGTGTCGTAGTCATACCATAAACTCATGGCAATTATTTTCCCACACAGTATTACAGTGCCATGGCAGCAAGGCAGTAAAAACTTGTCATTTTCCAGGAATCCCCTATGAGACACAGTGGTGATTAGTGAATACCCATGGGCTTCAATGTGACCGCCTCCTCCCTCAAGCACCACTGTTTGCCTGGAGGCTTTCCAAACAATGGCATCCCCGTGTATGTAATTGGAACCTACTACACTAACTCCAAGCCCCAATTAAAGTACCATTTTGTCTCCCAGGTCTCTCATTCCAGCTCACAAAATCCTAAACAGAGCTATTAGTCCTTTCTGTGATGATATAAATCATATGTATTATCCTGCATACACACCAAGTATACAGTGTTCTGCATGTAGCATGTTCCCAGATCATGTTACTCAGTAATATTTTGTTAACCTTGAGATGTAAGTTATTATTTGTAAGTTATTATTATTTGGTGCTATATATAAAAACATCCATCCATCAATCCGCTTATCCTTCTCAGGATAAGCTGTCTTATCCCAGCTGTCTTAGTGCGAGAGGCAGGGTACACCCTGGAGAGGTCGCCAGTCTGTCGCAGGGCTAATATAGACAGAGACAACCATTCGCACTTGCATTTATTCCCACATATGGGTAATTTAGTGTTTCCAATTAACCTAACCCCATTGACAGCATGTCTTTGGATTGTGGGAGAAAGCCGGAGAACCCAGAGAGAACCTATGCAAACACGGGGAAAACATGCAAACTCCACACAGAAAGACCCTGGCCTGATGGTGGAATAGAACTCAGGAGCTTCTTGCTGTGAGGCAACAGTGCTAACCATCATTAATTTAATTTACCAGCTTTTTTATTAGGTACACCTCTTTGTCTGCTCGATAGTGCACATATCAAATCAGCTAGTCACACGGTAGCAATTCATTGCATTTAGGCATGTTAAAGACAACCTGCTTAAATTTAAACCAAGAGCCAGAAAAAAATCAAGTCAAAAGCACGAAGTTGAGATAAACAACATTAAAGTATGGATTCTCCATTGTGGGGATGGTATTATGGTGTGGAGGATACTTTAGCAGTAGAATTGTTGATGACCAATAACAACCATTTTATGAAAACAGTGATCCCATCTTCTGATGGCTGCCCCGCAGGAAAACATACCTTCCAACAAAGTTCAAATCAAACTAGTTTCATAAACATGGCAATGAATTCACTGTACTCACTCGGCCTCCACAGTCACCAGATCTCAGTCCAATAGAGCAGCTTTGGGAAATGGTGGAACTCACGATTCACATCATGGATGTGCAGCCAACAAATCTGCAGTAACTGTGTAATGTCATCATGAAAATATGGACCAAAGTGTCTGAGTAACATTTCCAGCACCTTGGTAACTGTATGTCACAAAGAATTAAAACAGTTTTTTGGCTAAAGGGGATCGATATGGTGCTAGCATGGTGTAACTAACAAAGTGCCTCATGTATATCAGGTCAAAACACAGACGTGAGACTAGTTGTTGTTGTGAATGCAATCCACAGTAGGCTGTTAAGACTAAAAAAATCACACTAATCCCTATCTGCAAGTTGCCATCTGCTTAAACTTTTTAAGCTAAAATACCCAAAAGCTAAGAAGCAGCATAAAATACACCACAACCTCCTGAGGGGAGAAATAGAGTAAATATGATGTATTTTGGCATTGAAACTGTACCCAGTAGTATTCTTTCCAGTGATCTAGTGTGGTCTCATGCAGTTATTTACACTGAGATATGTCTGTTGTTGAGACATAGGTATGCCTGATTAAATCCACTGATTAAGGTTATGCTGCCTGGGATATATACACCATTTATGCAAGCTAACATGTCAGCAATCACAATGAGCCAGTCAGTCACACTTGCATGATAATAAGGTAGTATCCTCTTGCAGGGTTTTTTTAGACAGGCAGTTGGCCTTCATCAATAGATTCTTGGAGAAGCTTGACAGCGCACCTTTCAGGACGGCACTGGAGTGTGTGACAGTAACCGTCTGTTCATCCTCATGTGGTATTTCCCACTTGTTCTCTCAGTTGGATAGAAACACCCACCGCACCGGCTCAGAGGAAGAGACACCAAAAACTCTAGACTTGTATTTTATTTTGTGATTAAGTCACATAGCTTTGGAGGAGTGTACACTTTCACTTTCACTGACACTCATTTATTTTATTTAGTTAAGACCTGGGTCCTTATTTTACAAACTTATAACTCAGGCTTTTAACTTCAGTCAAACTCATATTAAGTCTTCTCTATATAGAACTTTTTTTATTTTTAAGTTTGTGCATAATGAAGAAAGGTAAAATATTATCATATATGAAGCAACCATAATCAGATCTCTAGTGATGAACCAAACCAATATAGGTTGTTTGGATCAACTGCAGAAAAAAAGGGGAGGAAATGCCCAAAGGTATTCCCAAAATTACACATAGTTCTGATCATAATTAAAATTGTACATTCACAAAGCATGTTTACACAGCAGTCACAACTACAACTGGGGGAGGGGTGGGTATTTTCCACCAATCATGAGCGATCTTTAAATTGAAACTCTTTCCAGATGTAGAAGTAACATGAGCTGTGCCCATTTATTTTTTGAGGACGGGTTTATCATTACATAACTGCAATATTATTTGCATAATTAGTTTATAGACCTCATTAGAATTACAGGTTATTTTTAATATATCATAGTTATTATGGAAGTACATTAAATAGTTAAGGGTTGTTTTGGTTCTGTTGTTAAGGAGGCTCATTAGTCCAGCCAGAATCTCTTTAACAGGAAAAAACAGAGAAAACGCTCTATTACACTGCACAGGAAGTGCTTTCATGACTACCAATTTATACATAAACTAATATTTTTATTAAAAGGCTGTAGGTCTTTATATGTCAAGAGAAAGCTGTTTGGTAATCAACATTTATTTCATTGGCATGTTTATGTTGACTGACGTCATTACCTTGAATTATTATTTAAATGTTGTAAAACTTTACAACTTTTGGGTGACTGAAGGTGAAAATGATGCTTAAAATTGTTGGTTGTATTCAGTTATCGTGATATATTTGGTAAGTTTTGGTAATTATATTTGATTAATTGCAACTTGAAATGACTGAAATACATTTCGACCCTTAAATTTTGGCAAACATGGCCCAAATTGGGATATGTGCTCCTTTATAGATGATTATTATTATTATTAAACTTTTCGTCCAGTTTTGATGAAATTATGCTCAAATGACCTGGAACTTTATC